CAAAGCAGGGAAATCCAAAATGGTAACGCGTGCAGATCTATCACCTTCATGATTTACTCAATGTTAGTACGTAACCATCTCATAACCAAGGGACAAGTGTATGTAACAGACTCTATGACGTAGTAAGCTGTGTATGGTATAATAGGTTGTGTTTAGTAGGTTTGGAACTAAAGGCATGCCCTGGATAAATTGGGTGTGTAAGAGCGTTCAGCACTGAAGTAGTACGTGAGCAGTTGTCTGAAGCAAAGAAAAAGAAACGGCCGATCACGCCTCGAACAAGGCCCTTTCACTCACTCCTCAAGAGTTTTTTGAGCCGCGATTTGACTGCCAGACGAATTTCAAAGATAAATTCGATTTTGGATTCTTCACAGCAGGCAATTTTTAAATAAACTCATTCCAGCCGGGAATTGTCCTCACGTTGGCTGCTCTTTAAGACTGCTTCACATAAGTGACTCCTCCAAAAAGATTATGGCTTCGTGCTTTCAAAACACGACTAGGAGCACATCGACTCCCTTCCTTCTGTTGTTTAGGGCACTGGAACGCCAATGGACGGAAGCTGAGTGCGTGGCGTAACCCAAAACAGCGTGGGTCAAGACTAGGCTCTCGTTATCGTATTGTTGTGAGTACCGAGTTGTTTAGGAGGCAATACAAGCCTTCTGGGCGACATTCGTGCAGTGTTACGTAGGTTTTTTTGGATTGGGCTTGCGAAGCTCAAAAACCCCTCTACGAAGTGATTTTTCGAAACGGTGAACTTCCATGAGCTCCAGGAATTAGATGCTTCGGAGGCCTCGGAAGATTTTTCATAATCATACTCAGCCGAGAACCGTAAACTTCCATTCGGCCGCCCAAAGGGGAACCAGAGTACGGTAGCCGTCGTGGTTTTCTGTGGAGCGGCGAAATATTGCGGAATATTTTCGAATCTGATTTTGAGCACATGTTTGAGTTGATTGGAGATTTCCTTCGCAATGCATTCGAGTGTTTCGCTGTCGGAAGCATCATTTTGCAACAATGTCGTATTCTGAACTTGTCCCGAATCGTATTTTCAAATTCATTGGCAAACAAACCACTGTAACCGTCCATATTGACACGAACTATTTTCGAACTATTCATAATTGCAGTTCAGTTTTCGTTTTCATCCACGACGTGGTGAACGTTGGAGTGTGTGAAATCATAGGAAGAGTAGCTTACCGGACTCTTCCCGTTACAGGCTTACAAGGGAGGTCGTTCAGACCAAGCAAGCTCCGGTCAGCAGTATTGAGAGCTTTTTTCAAAATGGTTTCTTGGCATTGACACAGGGGCAGGATATGGGAACCACAGAAAGCGATGGCATTTATATTTATTCCTGAAACTGCGCCTGTTGAATCTAGTTGAATCATTGTGTCTTAGTTCGATTCCTCGAGGTGACAAATTTTTTGCTTTTTCAAGTTGACGTTTCAAATTCGCGCAAAATGGAGTTAGCATGAATAATTAGTACCAAATTCATGATTAGGAACGTCAGTAACCCTTACAAATAGACTTTGATTGAAAAACTGGTGAAAAAGGTGTGACTAGGGACCCCCTTTTCTGGTATTCAGAGGGCCGTTCAGGAAAAATTAACCATGGTTCTGTGGTCCCGCATGTACCTCTATCTCTCATGCAAAATACCGTTTTGAAAAAGCTCGGCACACCCCTGAAAGACCTTCCTTGTTAGATGAGCGCAATCTCACCAGTGAGAGAAGGCAGACTTGCAGAAAATGGCACTAAATGATGCTAGCGCCGAAAATACATAAATGTCATCTTTGGGCACTAAATAACCTCATAGTTAAAGCTTAAGCCTATTTTAGGTGAAGATTTGCGTCTGGGGGTAGTGTGCAGTGAAATAGTGCGTATGTTGTAGGAGAGTACTGCGTTACCAGTTAACCCAAACAAATCATGGATTCAGATGTTCAGTCTTGATTTGATGTATAACCGGTGAGATTCATGTCGAAATTGTGCAAAGACTTTGGTTTTTGGAGCGTCATGCTCTTTGACCTTATGTGCAGTTAGCCTAGTATAAAGTGTTTTCTATCCATTGCAACGAACCTAAGCCAAGAAAGACATTGCAGATGGCAGTGAACGGCGAGCAGGCCGTGCCTGCTCTTTGCTCGGAAAACACAGCAGAAGGTGCGTCGAAATCAGAAAGGGTTGAGGAAGATTCGGCTTCTGTCGAGGCAACTGCTCAGAAAATTGAAGGTGAGTGGCACACTCTTGCGATTTACCATTCCAATGTAGCAGTATGACATTTGTGTTCGTTCTAAAGGTTTAGACGCACAGGGAGACTCCACGGCTGCTGACGCTTCTTCTAATCATGTGCAAGAAGGAGGAACAGGTATTATTTTATTTGTGGTTTTCTTATTTCATTTAGAATTCATTTTGTTCATACTTCAGACGCACAGGGAGATTCTTCGGCCGCTGTCGCTCCTTCTGATCAGATTGAAGAAGAAAAAGCAGGTATCATTTTGTTTGGGGTTTGCTTATGTTCACTAGTGTTCGATTGTTTTTATACAACCATTTAGAAGACAAAGAAGCTTCAACAACTGCTGAAGCGGCCGCTGAGAAAATTGAAGGTGAGCGTGGACTATGTTCTTACAAATCATTATTCTGCTGTAAGACAATCTCAGCTAGAATTATGGATTGCTTTTAGGTTTCTCGACAAGATTTTTGAATGAAAAATGGATAGGGCGCTATGATGCGACTCAAGAATACGTAGAGTTTCACAATAACGAGTGGCGGCCTCTTCCCACGGATGATCTCGAGTTCATTCAACAACTATGGTATGAGCAGGAAGCTGCTGAAACACAGGTGAGCCGAAGGTTTCTCAGTCATCTTGTGTGCTAGCAGCTCGAGTTAGCTAACCAGTGTACCTCTATTTATAGGTGGTAAATGGCGTGAAAATGAAATGGAATCCAACCAAGCAGGAATGGGAACGAGTCGAAGAAACAATTGACGAAGACTTTATCGCTAGTTATCAGGCCAATTACGGTGTTCCGTATGATTACAGTACGTTTCTCTATCTGGGCTCTTTCTTTATTCAGTTCCGCTAACTTCACATTTAAGTACCCTGGCATTCAACAAAAAAAAGGTGAAGAACAAACTAAGGGGAAACAAGATTTAAGTGTCCTGTTTTTGCAAAGTACTTACACCTGTGCTTTCAAAAAAGCCTTGATTCATGGGCTGTTCTTTCTGAAATCGCTCTTTTTTTTAGCTATGTGAAGGTTTTTTGCGTAAGAAAGACAGGTTGAGACACTGATTTTACCTACTAAGGTAAACTAGATGAGGAAAGAAAGGCGGCCGAGGCGGAAAGAGCAAAGAGTAACAAATCAGCTGAAAGAAGAGAGAAGAAAGCAAGGGATGCTGCAGAAGCACAAGGTGAAGCCTCCCTTCTATTTCTTTTTCCTTTTCGA